TGATTGTTGTCAGTTGTTTTTGTTGCTGTTGGTGGTGTTGCCCAGGAATCTTCATTACCTCTGTTTTCTCTATGTTCACCTGGAGTCCTATCTTTGATGCTTCTTCTGCCAACTTGTTGCTTTTCGCTTGCATATCTTCAAGTTTGTGGAAAATCAGACATATATCATCGGCGAAGTTCAGATCCTCCAAGTTTTTTGTGCGAGTCCATTTTATGCCTGTTTCCTGATTGCCCAGTGTCTGTCGCATTATTCAGTCTACTGCAATCAGGAAAATCATTGGCGACAGTATGCAGCCTTGTCTTACTCCCGTCTTCACTTCGAAGGATTCCGTAAGTTTCCTCTTGTGGATTACTTGGCATTCAGCATTGTCGTACAGCTGTTGAATGAGATGTATAATTGTCGGTGGCACCCCATAGTAGCGAATTAGTTTCCAAATCACCTCTCGATCGACGCTGTTGAAGGCCTTTTCAAAGTCGATGAAGTTGAGATAGAGAGGTTACTGCCATTCCAGGCTTTGTTCAATGATAATCCGTAATGTGGCGATCTGATCAATGTATGACTTGTTTCAGGGGTTTCGAACCCATAACTTTTTTGTCGAGTTCTAGTGAATGAATGGTTTAGGAGCTTGCTCCGTAACCGGAAAGTCCTAGTTTCAAAACTGGGTAGATGTGTACTGTTGGAGAGACTCAAATTAGGATGAAACAGCTGTCAAGTATTCCCTGCCGATTTTCAACGTTTCAGTAATCGATATCAATATGTGGCCAAACTTGAAATGAATCAAACCCTTAAAAAGTAACTCTTGGAAATCATTTTCTCGTTGAAGTGAAAATCAATAGGTTTGGATCCAGTTGAACATTTTTTTTGAGTTTATGTTGTGACACAAGGACACAACTGTAAGACTGAAGAACAAAAAGGTGGAAAGAGTAGATGCACTCTGTTGGATGGAAATTTAGGTTCTTCAGTGATTTAAGCCTCTACCTCAACTTCGTCGACTTCGAAATGGCCTTCGGCAAACAACGTTGTTAGAGACGTAATTTGGAAACTACTTCAACACTATGGCGTGCAGTGCCCAAGTCCCTATCAATCTCATTCAGCAGTTGATTATATGACAATGAAATTCGTCAAGTGATTCACAATGGGAAACTCAGCGAGGCATTCGAGGTGAATACAGGAGTAAGAAAAGGCTGCCTGCCTATTAACACCGATGATATTCTTAAATGTGGTGGACTGGATTATGCGGAAGACTGTGGGAAGTTAGGAGACAGAAGTACGATGGACTACCAATAAGAAAACTCCAAGAGGTCAGGATTTCCCTCGTGGATGAGTTATGTCTAATGTCACACAAACTCAAAGACATACAGGTGAAAACCCACAAATTGTCTGAAGTAGCAGGCAGCGAAGACTGGACTACAAGTAAACAGAGAGAAGACGGAGGTGATGAAGATACTCACCAATCACCATCAACGGGAGAGATTTAACAGAGGTTACCTCCTTCACTTATCTGGGAAGCATCGTTTCAACTACAGGTTGAACGGATGAAGATGTCAAAGCCAGTCAGAATCGGCTAGGAAAGATACGCCTTCATCAACCTGAAATCAATTTGGAAATCTTCTGCACTCAACATAAGGAACAAGATGCGGATTTTCAACACCAGTATCAAGTCGGTTCTTCTATACGGGTCAGATACTTGGCTAGCACGTAACTAAAAGGATTTTCGACAGGTTGTGGACTAACATCAACAGCCACCTTCTCTGGCTCCATACTGAAGATCAAATGGCGAATCAGAAAGAGTTAGTAGCAAGAATCTTTGGCTGGAAACAAACCAACCATGAGCCGAACGCCCAACAAATATGTAGGAGAAAATGGAGATGGATTGATCAGGCATATGTTGAGGAAACCGCCGAATGACATCGCGCGCAATGCAGGCTGCCGCTGGAGTGGAATCCTAATGGGAAACGACAAGTGGGTCGTCGGTACGAGGGTCACATGGAGGAGATCATGTGGGAAAGAGGTGAGAGAGTTTGGGTAATCGTGGACTTAGATAAAGAGGACAGTAGAGAATAGAAGATAAGGCAGATGTGTTGTTGAAGCCCTGTATTCCACTTGGAGCCCATGGAAACAATAATAATATTGATTTAAACAGGATGCCATTAATATACAACCACACGATCACTGGTTAATCCAGTAAGTTCTTAAGTTAAAAATAGAGCTGTCTCAACTAACTGATCAGTCCTTGACACCTAAACATTATTTATTTGTTAACCAAATTTTCTAAGTGCTGCTTTTCAGAGATTCCATTGGTTACAGGGTCGATCACGAGATGACATCAATTAGAGAACATTATATATGTAATATAATGATAAGGCAGGCTATAGAGATTGGCATTCCTGTATCTTCCTTAAAGAAACTTCATTGAAAGTGTATGACGAATGAGCATTTTCTGTTCAATAAAGAGGTGCACAGATGGTCAGATGGTGTTGATATGGGATCACTACTTGATTCAGTTCTAGCGGACTTGCCTGATCGTTTATTGTCAAATTTCTGAACATCTACCATCCTGGTATGGCAAAGGTTCAAATAAAGCTATGTGCTGCTCTATACCAGTTCATTTGGCCATTCTGGAAATATAACGATTCTAGCTTTAGACTCATTACCTAGGGACATCTTGTTAAATATTATTATTGTATTTTTTAGTTCCTAGAGGAACATAGGGCTTCAGCCACACGTCTCCACTGAGTTCGGTTCTCTACCAACGTTTCCATCTGGATCCACGTCTGCCCACATGCTTTCATCTCCTCTTCACATCACCTCCTCCACTCTATTTCATACTCACACTGACGACCAACTCATCGCTTCCAATTCGCGTTCCACTCGAGCGATGGCCTGGTGTGTGATGTCACTTGATTGTTTTCTCAGGGTATGGCCAACACACCTCCATTTATTCCTGCAGATTTCTTGCAGAACTGTTTTCTTCTGGGTTGGCTCGTTCATTGCCAGAGATTCCTGTTGCTGATATCTTCTGGCAGGCCATCTAACCTTGACTAGTATTGAGAGAAGACAGCTGTTGATGAAGGTCATTAGTTTGTTCGAAGTGGCCTTCGTGACTTGGTGCCAAGTCTCTGATCCATGTAGAGTAGCATTGACTTCACATTATAGTCGAAAATATGGATCTTATTTTTCATGTTGTGCGCTGTTGACCTCCACACAGACTTGATAGAGATCAATGCTTGCCTTGCTTTCCCGATCCTCGCTTTGAGTTACTCATCAGTTCCGCCTGTAGTTAAATAAGCTTGCTGAAACTCAAACTAACTGTTGGGTTGTCAAATGGCTGCATTCTTATTTCTCTGCAAGAAAGCAGTACACCGTGTATAAAGGGAAGTCTTCCACTTCATTACCTACTGAAGCTGGTGTCCCTCAAGGCGCTGTCCTTTCTCCTTTTCTGTTTTCTTTCTTCTTGCACAACTTGCCTCACTCTGATGAAATGAACTTTGTTAAGTATGCCGATGATCTAACTATTTCAATGTTTGTTAACTCCCAGCTAGACTGTACTAAGATGAACAGCCTTCTCTTAGGAGTTACAAAATAGTCTTCGTCTAATGATCTTAAACTAAATCCTTCCAAATATCAGACTATTAATTTCAGTTTCCTATGTAAAGCAAAGTTAAATGAAGCTGTTGGTTTCTATGACCGTCGCGAAATTGATGCTAATGATATAGCAACCAAGTCTGAAGTTAAGTATCTTGGATTAGTTCTCTCTTCTGACCTATCCTGGTCCTCCAATGTTTTAGACATTTCTAAAAGAATATTTCGTTTGACTTTTTACATTAAGAAGTTAAGGCACTCAGACATAACTCAACCACTCCTCTCACAGTTTGTCATCTCGTGCATCTTACCTATTCTTCTTTATTGTTCATCCTTATTTTTTCCTGGATTGCTGAAAAAAGACTATGTCATATTTCGTAGAATTCTGAAGACTGTCAGTAAAGCGAGTGGTATCCCATTAGGCCACGTCGTTGACATTGTCATTGATAGGCATCTGATGTCATGTAACAAATTTGCTAATGGAATTTTGTCAGACTGTGAGCATCCACCGCAGTAACCACAGCTCCAATCTTGTGTCTCTTCAGGTAAAACAAGAGGTCTTCTTGTAAGACTTTATGCACATACGTCTAAGTATAAAAATTCCACTATGCGGCGAGTGGGACGTCCAAGGGTGACATGGAGGAGATCGTGTGAGGAGGAGATGAAACAGTATGGAATAACATGGACGCAAGTGAAAAGAACAGCAGAAGACAGAAGCAAGTGGAGACGTGCAGTTGAAGCCCTATGTTCCACTAGGAACCCAAGGGAACAATAATAATAATAATATATGCCACATTTGGCAAGTATTTTATATGATGAAAAAGGTGTCAGGGATGAACTAACTAACTAAACCAGCAGGAAGTACTGAACATCTGTTTCCTCCTAGTTTGAGACTCTTCAGCAACACCTACTCACTGGAGATCGAACCCAGGAATAGTTGGTTGCAGGTGAATTTCGTAGACCATTCAGCCACTTGGAACCGACCCAGCATTCAAAGAATTCCAACTTCTATAAGCTTGCGATATACACAGAGCAATGGCCAGCCAGCAGTGTCCACCATTTCAGGTAAGACACCACTTCCTCGTCTATGACATTGGTTGATGGCTAAGCTACATAAATTAAAAATGGTCAGAACTTGGATTACATTCACTATTGGATCGCGTCTAAGTGGCTGAGTAGCCTACGAGCTAGTCCTGCAACCAGAAGGCCCTGGGTTCAAACCCCAGTGGATGTGTACTACCAATGAGCCTGAAACTAGATCGTAATATCTGTCCAGTACTCCCTGCTGTTCTTCTGATGTTTCTTTAACTGATGTTTAATGTCTCTTCAAGCCATAACTAACATTTTTAGAAATCAAATGACTACATAATGGCAAGTGAAAAAAAAACTGATATTCAACATATCTGACAATAACTTACATTATCACAGATACTTTTACGTCCATAACAGTTATAAAATGGATATTCTGGTGAATATTTATAATCACCAATACAGGTACATGTGTAATAATTTGAACCATTCACTGGATTACATCTATTTCCTAAATATGTACGACATGCTTCATTACCAGATACACGACCAGGTAAAATATTCTAGAAAAGAGAAGAAAAAATATTCATTACTTAGTAAGAGAACCATTGAAAAACAATGAAATATTCAACAGTTGTTTCGTCCCTGTTTGGGACTCTTCATTAGTCAAGTATCTACAAATCAGCACTTGAAGATGAAGATCTAGTGTGTGTGACTGAAACTGCTTGTAGTATTCCAGTTAGGCAGCCTTTATCACAGGAGTTTAAACCAAGTGCCTGAATGATCAAAAGGCTCACTTTGTAATCCGAAAGTTATGTTTTCTTCGTCCCTTGATGGGGTCAGGGTTAAGTACTTCTGACTAAGCATCAAAACGTCAATTCAGTACTCCTTGATTTTAAGTCGTTCTTAAAATGAAGCCAAATCTCTGCAAGTCGAATACTTGAATACTTTCCTTGGCTTTTGGTTTCAAATTGCATGTACATGGATATAAATAATGTGTAGAGATAGATTTACTGTAAAGCAATGGAATTTGGCAGGAAACCCCTCTTGAACTAGGTTTCGTGCTAGTAGACATTCACTAGTTCGCAAGGCGAGTCTGAAGCATTGAAGAAACTCATTTCCTCTCTGAGATTCAAACGCGCGTCGACCAAATCTGCAGACAGAGACGTTACCACTGAGGCATTCGGGCTCGTGATTGACCTCCTGTAGGACTGTGTTGTATATTTTGATTGGAAGTTAGTCACTGGCTAGTGTGATGTTTCTAGTCTTTTGTTTGGTGCAGACTGAATTTCATCAGTCAAGTTCGCAATGTGGTTACTGTAATAGGTGGCCTGCCATCATGGTGCACTCTATATTGTTGTTATTAGAGAGCTGGATGTAGTCAGCAGGAATCCTTGAACCTAACGTCTCTGATTGCAACAACTGATGAAATGGATTTGAATTTCAGACGGGACATGAGTTCTTTCAGTGTTACAGATACGCCCTGCTGACTGGTTATGGTGTCGAATAACACGAAACCTAGATCAGGCGGGACTTTCTTCCGACTGCGTTCAGCTATCTAATAACAATAATTCGGAGTACACCATAATGTCGAGCTACCCAGCACGGTAACCATATTGCAAACTTGACTGACAGAATTCAATCTGCAGACAACAAATGATTAGATGCATGACACTAGTTACCTACTAACTATTGTCCAATCAAAGTATATTTTCAAATGGTTGTTTATAAGGAATGTTTTCATGGTAGATTTCGTTGTCAACAAATATCATTTATTGAACCACTGAAGCCATGGTTGTTCAAAGGATACCTACTTATGGTTCGGAAAAGGTCAAATAAAATCCATTCGAAGTTCTATTTTGGCTCATTTGATTGATAGCGGTCACCAAGTGGACAAAAACAGTACTTTCAAAGTTATCTATCGTATTCCATTGAGTCTTTCGAATGGAATCAGAAACCGTCTTTTACACCTAGCCGAAGCTATGGGAATTCGAGAGAACAATCCTAGTCTTTGCACACAAAAGAAGTTTGTTCTACCTTTGTCTCTCCCTTGGCCTAGGTGAACTGTATTCAAAACCCTCCCACCCTTTCTTATTTTCCACTTCCTTTGTACTTTTATAATATTTATTTAAACTCTGATTATCGTTCCACTTCACCTTTTAAGATTTGACCCAATTTATTTATACACTTATATACATATACTATCTTTGTTATTCTTATCACCTGCATAAACCTTATTATCAATATTTTGTTATCATTATAATCATCGTTATTAACTACGTTCAAAACATTTACCACATTATTATTATTATTATTACTAAGACTATTAAGATTATTATTTGATTCCCAAAATCACCGTCATTGGTTAAAATTTTATATAAATCTATGTAAATTAGAGTAAAGCCTGAAGAAGATCTAATTGAAAACAATATTGTTCGCTTATATGTCTTGTTCTAATGCCTACTTATGACGAAATACATCATTGGAGAAATTAATACTGCACTCCACTGACTGATTTGTATGCTACTTGAAAATCCCCATTCAGTCATATAAAAGAGAAGAAGGTGTTCAGCGAAGAGAGTCTTTTCGGCGAATTCATTCACTGAGCTGTACAATTGCATTTATATACAATTTTGTTTGTGTGTGTGTGTACATTGGATCTATAAAGTTTAGATAATTACGTAATATAAGTATTATTTGGCTTGGAAACAAACGTTAATAAATTTAAACTGATTAAGTGAATTGGATGACGTAATACAATTGAGTAGAGTTCAGAGTAGGTCAGGTTGGCAACAGTGCTAATGAGTGGTGGTTAAAATTAAATAAGGGTGGGGTAGAGAATAATACAGTTGAAAATTAAGTAGGTTAATCGGATGTCGTAACATAGTTGACCTCGCTAAGCCGGAAATAATGCTGGTGAAGAGGAAAGGTTGGGCATGGGGCTAGCAACCCCATCCTGTAAAATAAACACTGCTACAGAAACTTCAAGCCACTAGCTTGAAGCCCTATGTTCCACTGGGGAACGTGAAGCAAAAAATAAAGAAATTGAACGTGGGTTGAGTTAGCAGCATTGTTAATGAGGGTGGAGATTACAAAAAGGTGGAGTAGAGAATATTACAAATGAAGATGTGAAATAATAAAATGCAAAAGACAAAATAATACAATTAGTAAGACTGAAATTAAGAAAGATTACGTCCATTGTAAATTTAATGAATGAACTAATTTCTTTTGTATGCAAAGTTCAGGATTTAGCAGATGAATTGCCATTGTTTCTGCGATGTGGAGAAGTTTGATCCGTACACTTTTAGCAAGTTTGCCTTGTATTCTGTAGATAACTTTTAAGTTTATTTGTGATTTGACTTGGTGTCCTGATTCGATCGAATGTTCAAGGATCGAGCTGCGGAGGCATCGGTTTTCTCCTTTCTCCTTTACTAATTGTAAAATCAACTAAAGGATTTTATTCAGGGATCTGACTGGTTACATGAATTTCGTCTTGAGTTGAAGTTGGTTAGAGAGCCATTGGAAAACCTATCAGTACCCGAAAGGTAGTTCCTCCTAGTTTGAGGCTCTACATCAGTACATCCCGCCCACCGGGGTTCAAATCCAAGAGCTTCTGGTTACAAGGCAAACTGAAGAGTCCTAAACCAGGATGAAACAGCTGCCTAACACTCCCAGGTTTTCCAATAGTTCTTTAACCGATACCAGCTCATGATGAAATCCTGTATAGGACTTTAGTTTTCCTAACATGAGTGATATTTCATCATAACAAAACATTAGATTTACCCTCTCGAGTATTTATTCCTTTTCAACAGACGTTTTCTTGGTAAAAAAAAGATTTTATAAAAAAAATGTTATTACATTTTGAAAGTAGTTGAAAGAATGGGAACTTAATGGTAACTACGCAGTTTACAAATTTGTTCAATTTTCAGTGTCATAAGGGCTTAAATGTTCAGTTATGTTGAAACATTGAACACTATTAAAGTTTATTTTTTTATTCAAAACAATATTTAAACAAGACACATGAGCGAACAATGTTGCTGTTTTCAATTAGATCTTCTTCAGGCTTTACTCCAACTTACACAGATTTATGCATAGAAAATTAAACGAATGACGATGCGTTTGTGGATCAAACAATAATATATTAAATATTTTTAAGGTTAGTGATGACGAAGATGATAAATATAACTGATGAAGAGTCCCAAACTAGGACGAAACAACTGTCCACTACTCCCAGATTTTCCAGTGGTTCTCTAAGTGATATCAGCTCATGATGAAATCTTCCATCCAAACAAAACAATGATCTTAAATTTTATGCAAAAGGCCATAAGAATAACAAAGGCATATGGAGACAATTCAATAAATAATTTAGGTCAAATCCTAAAAGTTACGTAATACTAAAGGTGAAGTGGACAGATAATCAGAGTTTACGATTTATCGAAAGCTGTCATGGAATGGTCAACTGAAAATTTCCTACAGATGGGTACTCATTGGTCGAAAACAAAACCTAGTTCGGTCACATGCCACTCGCATTCGGCGCATATGTAGCCCTGATACTGTGGAGGATGAGAAAAATCTTTTGAGGAAAATCCTAAAAAATGGATTCCCACTACTTTTAATAGACAAGAATATATAGTCAAATCCTATGAAATGTGACTTCCATCCCTAACCAAGGAAACACTGTACATGAGCTTGGAATTCAAAGGTGACTTAGCTTCCGATATCATGAAACGAAGGATATCACAGTCCCTGAAAAGAACATCCCCTGCTGCATCTCTGAGAATAGCCCTTACTAGTCGACCACTACTGTTCAGTAACCTGAAGGACAAGATCCCGCTGTTGACCAACTACATGTGTGTTTGTCAATTCAAATGCTCATTTGGAACTAGGTATATTGGTCGCTGGACTTAAGTTTTGTCCAAGAAGTTGCAACGACGCTATCCTGCATGGTGACGAAGAGGTGGAAGTGCGGTAATAAGAATTGCAATCATTGAACATTTGGTCAATAATGATCACCCTATATCTCTATAGCCTCCGGCTTTAAAGTCATCTAAAAGGCAAGAAGTAATTTACCGAAATCATTACGTATCCAACTATTCTGTATTGCTGAAGTCTTGGTTATCGAAACAGAAAAGCTAGATCTTTGTATACAGAAAAAGTTCATTCAACTCCTTCAACTTTCATGGTCTTAATCCATGTATGCTAAAGTATGGCATTCCCGTATCATATTTTTGCTCTACCACTTTTTTCATTGTATCTATTCAGTTTGTATACTCTTTCTTTATTACGTCAAATGTTACTATAACTATTCTCACTTTGAACTGTCCCCGTTATTATTTCACTTGCTCCAGTTGTCATTCTAAATCAATTCTGTTTTGCAACATTAAATTCAACGTTATCAAATTTCACACAATATTACGTAACGCTTTTATTCTATTCGATTTGTCTCCTAATCCTATAACTGCACACCCCTTTCAACATCTAAACATCCTATGAATTATTCTATGTATGACATTAATTGTTTTGCCACCTGACATTTAACAATGATTATAGATGAGATGTCTGC